ATGAGGGTAATAATAGGTTTTTTAGTTTATTGCCGAGCTCAGGGGATTAGTGTGCCAACTGTAAATATGTTTAAGTATTTTTTTGTTTTGAAGGGGGGAAGTAGGAGGGATAAGGGGTGGTATTATTTCACCCCTAGGGTAGCTAAGAAGGAGAGTAGGATTTTATTTACTGTGGGTCCTTCATCCATTAAGGTATGGAAGGAAAAATTCTTTTTTGTGGATGATACGGAGTGGGGGAAGGGGGATGCCAAGGTGAGGGCGTTAGCTTCCTGGAAGGCCAAAAGGGCCAACCAGAATAGGTTTAGCTTAAATGGGGATGAGGAGGAAAAAGTGAGGAAGTTGGTGAGGAAGGGGGGAGATGTATTGAATATCATGGACCTCACAAGCGCAGCATGCATAGAAGCTGCTGAGATCTATGGGCCAAGCGCTCTGAGTGAAGGTTTGTTTAACATGCACTGTAACGTTAAATGTAGAATATAAAATTGTGACTAACATTGTGTTTCTTGCTTTGCAGCTGAAATGGACCAGTTTTTTAACACTGCTGGAGGAGCGCCCATCCCCAAGAAGCCAAGGAAGAAGTCAAAGACTTCAACCAAGAAAGTGGATGAGGGGAGGACCGGGAAGGAGGTAGTGCCCTTGGCCTCAGCTGAGACGGAGAAGGAGGTGCCAGCACTAAAGAGGAAGGGTTGGGAGGAGAGGAGGGCACTGCAGAAGAAGCGGAAAGTGGTGGAGGAGGAAGAGGGGAATGGGGTCCTTGAGTTTGTACCTCAGCCTCCTCCTGTTGAGCTGAACCCTGAGCTCAGACGGTTGGAGGAGAGGGCTGAGGTATGGGCTCCTGGTAAGGGAAAGGGCCCTGTTTCCCCGGTGGTGCCTCAGAGCAGCCTGTTCGAGGGAAATAACATAGTGGGGGCTAGGTGGTTCATCAACAGCACCTTCCCCGAAATGGACAAGCGCAACGCGCGGGAGGAAGCTCTGAGGTACGGGGGAGCATCTGTTGTGAAGCATGTTCTTGAGGTACGTTAAATTAGTGCTGCTCTGATTTGCAGAGCGCGAGCTGGGTGAATGGTCTAGCCCAGGAGTTCAGGGAGAGTATAAAGGAGCGCACACTCTTGTAGAGGCAGTGTGACCAACTGCAGAAGGAGAAGGAGGAGCTGGAGAGGAAAAATAAAGATCTGCAAGAGTCGCTGGACGAGGTGGTTCCAACTGTGAAGCAGTTGGAACAGGAGAGGTCTTCCCTAAGCACCAAGCTCGGCTTTGAAGAGAGCAAACGAAAGATCTCTGAAAGTGAGCGTGAGGCTCAGGCGCAAGAACTAAAGCTGACGAAGGAGGCTTTCTTGGAGCTGAAGGGGAACGTGCAGACCTTGGTGCACAATGGGATGAAGGAGCACATCAGCAACTTCATCAACTCCAGCTCGTTTGACAACATCGTCAACCTATACCGGCTGCCTACTGCCATCATCGCGTTCACGGACTGCAGGAAGAAGGTGAAGGCAGAATATCCCGAAGTGGATATTACGAAGATCACCTTCGGAGAGCAAGAAGGAGGAGTGGAGGAAGATGGTGAGAGCATGTCAGCTGTCATAACTCAAAATTTAGTAGGATTTTATTTTATTTTAACTAATATGTTTTTATCTTTGTTTTTCTTGTTAGGTTCATGAGTAAAATGGGGATTATTGTGAACGATTGGAAAGAAGTTGAAGGATGAGGGACCCAGTTGAAGAAATGAAAAGTCGGAGGAGTGAAGTTCATCAAAATGAATTTACAAACCCAAACCCAAAACCCATCAAACCCAAACCAAAGCCCAATTACCCAAAACCCAAAGCCTACCAACTACCCAAACCCAAAATCCCAAAACCAAAAGTTACCCAAAACCCAAAACCCACAATTACTCAAACTCAA